CAAATGGCGTGCACGTGTTCAATAAATTTAATGCATCAAACGCGGATGCGGAAGTACAGATCTACATCGTCAAAGTATTAACTACAGTTTCTGAAGAAAATCGTAAAAAAGTATTGTAGAGCGAGAATTCCTATTTACTTTTTTTTCCCGAGAAAGACGAAAGGATTTTCTGTCACCGAATATTAGAAGCTAATTTATCTCGCGCGCGCGTTCGACGGGAAGGCTCGCGGCACGAAAATTGAAGCTTTATTTATTGCGCGGAGTTTGATCGAATCGAATGGCGCGAATGACTGATAGAAAATCCGAATACTTGGGAGCTCGCCGCCTGGTGAAGAGCGCAGGCGGGCAAACGAAAGGGAAGATAAATGGAATTCCACCGGAATTCCGCGAGGTTGCGGCGGATAAATGTTTTAGGGACTGTGGTGGCCTTCGTGGTTTCTCAGTAATCCGTCAGTGAATGCCTTGAGGAGACTCGGAGCTGCCTACGGAGAGAAAGATCGCAGCTTCCGATTTTTCTCCGGCTCCGAATGAGCGCGTTTTCGCGGGAGACTCGTTAATCTCGACGCGAGGTCGAGAGGTGCAATTAGCGCAGAGAGGTGCGCCGCGTACGTAATGTCTCGAGGTACACGTCGCATAGTAGTCGTACGGTTCTTTTATACGTAGTCTCAACATATTTTTACATTCTTCTTCTTTTTTCGAGGAAAATATTCGAACCCTTTGACACTCTGCGGCTGTGCACGATCGCGGAGAAACGATATAAGATGTAATTAAATTTCAAGTATTATCTCTTCATACGTTCATGATTCTAACATCTGCATTCCGTTAGCACACATTCGTACACTTTGCGTCATATTTCTACGTTGCGGTTAAAATTTTGCATTTTTCTCGTATTTTTCATACATATCTCTCTCACCCACATACACACACACATATCACATCCCGCTTTGGTTCCGACTCGATTTTCCCATTGATCGTTGATAAGCATCGCCAGAGCCCACTTGATCAACGATACGCATTCTCGTGGGCGATTAATTTGTCGATAATTCCTCCTACCTCCCTTCCCTTCCCGAAACCGCTCGCGAACAATCTCCCGTTTCGACAATGACAGACTGGGCGGAATTATTTCCGCCGCGACTCGACTCACCGTGGTTGCCGGCTTGCTCGAGATCATCCTCTCTTTCGCTCTCTCTCTCTCTCTCTCTCTCTCTCTCTCTCTCTCTCTCTCTCTCTGTCTCTTTCTCTTTCTCTCTCTGTTTCTGTTCGGCCTCGAAATCCTCTCGATATCACACTCACGACGAATCGCAGCTGCGCGCCGCGGCGAATACCGAAATAATCGCGAGTTCGCACTCGCTATATTTAGCGGGTCGACGCGAGCGGGAGCGAGCGGAACGCGATTCCGCGGGAACGCTCCTGCGACGAGAAGAAGCGTCTGATTCTCCGTCGCGATCGATGTGACGAATACGACGAGTATCGACCACTGACGATTCGACCGCAACGACGACGACGACGACGAGGAAAAGAAACAGCAGCAGTCTCTTCCTCAGTTGCGTTCTTCGGGTCCTCTTCGATGCACGTCGTCGTCGTCGTCGTCGTCGTCGTCGTCGTCGTTGTCGTCGTCGTCGTCGTCGTCGTCATCGTCGTCGTCGTCGTCGCTGCACACGCTCGCGTCAATTATATTTAGCGTGTCGCCGCGTGATCTCACTGACTCACACTGCCGCGAAATGCAGGAGGCGATGAACGCTCGCGCTACGCGTCGGAAACAGAGGCACGCGTGTTGGACCGTGCGGTTGCATCGGGTTGGACTCTCCGCGATGATGCCACGGCCGTCGCTGACTCACTAAATGCTCGATATATGCGTGCGCGATTCGCGCGTGCGATGCGGAGCGAGCTCGATTCGCGACCGCTCGTTCGCTCGCGTCAACGGAGCTTGCTCGGAGTCGCACGAGCAAATATAAGACAACTCGCGTTCGGGACGATGGATCCAGCCTGTTAAAATATCAAAGAAAATTTGCAAGAGATTTTCAAAAAGAAATTCAACGATCAAGCAACGAGTCGAATTTTCATGAAGCAAAGATCGATTGAAATGGGAAAAAATTGTGAAGAGAAGGATCGACGACTCAAGGAGAGTCCGCGATTTCTTATGCATTCGGTGTATTTGTATACCTGTCTCGTTTTGGAATCGCATTGCGAATTCGCACTCGAACGTCCGCTCTGCGAACCTCCTGGAGGTGTGATTCGAGAGACGTGATTCGTCGAGAATGGGATACCGATAATAAATGGCGATTTAAGATCGGCGTAATGATCAGTGAACTGCTATATAATAATAATAATAATGCGACGATCGACGTAACGATATCGAGTAGTGTGTTGCGAGCGCCTAACGACGGTTCATTGATGCCAATAAACGAACAGAGACGTCGGCGACGGGCAAAAGTCCTTGTCGACGAGCGGGAAATTAATCGGAGTAATAACACGCGTCACGATATGCCTGCTAAGTGCGGGCCCGGGTATTTATGCAGGTCGTGATTGTGACGGATCCCGACTTTGAACGCGCGACGCCGAAATGAAATTAAACCGGAGACTGACGGGTCGTAATAACCGGTGTCGTCCGTCCGCCTGCCCGTCCGCTCATGCTTATTTCTATCTGTTACACCGCCCTGCGACTGCCGTTGTAATTGCGATAATTATCGGCGGCGTTAAATCAACGTCGCGCGTGTCTTGCTCCCACGCGGATTCGCTCGCGCGAAATCCTACGCGAGACTTCGCGCGAAGACTCGGACAGATCGCGAATTACCCAGGCCGACGAAACGGGATTTTCAAGCCGGCAGAGTCGGTTTTGCCGTTAAAAGCCATTGCTTTGGGCACGTTTCATTTGTAGTCGGACGGGTGAAAAGGAGATTCGCATCTGCCTCCTTGGGAATCTTCTTTCGGTGCTCTTTGCTCAAGAAGACGCTTCCGACCGATATTTCACACTTAGAAACATAATTGTCGCGAGGCCTATATTAGAATAGACCGTGTCTAATTACTCGCCTTCGCAATATACGCTTCTCTCTCGTATTATTAGACTTAAATACTTACAGTTCACTTACAACATTTAATTGTAGTTTCCGCTCGATATATCTGTGTTATTTTTTCGACATAAAATATTTATTCGACATAGAATATTTATCAGTATATATTAATATTTTTAATTATTTTCGACAAAAAATATGCCACGATGAACCAGAAAGAAAAAGAGCGCACGATTTTTTAATCATTACATTATTCCGATCGTTTTGATGGTAATTATTTCGGCAAGCCGCCGGGAAGTAAAGCCGATGGTAGAAGGGACGAGGAAGGAGGCAAGGGGTACGGGAAAAAACGAGACCAACGGTGTGACGAGAGCAGAATCGCGGGACCGGTTAATGACGCAATAAAATCGCACGGCGTCGATGCCGGGCGCGAGTCCCCGACATAATTGGCGAAGTAATCGATTTATAGTTATTAACGCGGTAACGGTAACATTCGCGGCCATTTGCATATTCATGACGAGGAGGAAGAGGAGAAGGAGGAGGAGGAAGAAGGGGAGAGCGGCCTGGGCGATTCATTGTTGCTGCCGCTACGGCCCCGGCTCGAGCTCTCTCCGCACACTTGGATGCAAAACGCGTGTCCCTTGGACTGCGTTAATGAAAAACGACGTCGCTTACGCGTCGTAAAAATTTGATGACCTTCCCCCCCATCTCGCTAACGCGGAAACAAGATTCGCGATGCCTAACAGGGTCGCGAATTTAACGCAAACATCGTTACTCCCGTACGACATTGCACACACATACGTCATTACGTTTGGTACGCAAACAGTCATTTTTTACGGATTATTACCCGCCTCCGAGATAAGCAGATTATCGCTCGCCGGGATCACGTTTCTCACAAATCCCTCGTTGAATTGAATTTACGTCTCTTTGAATTGAAAATATGCGGCAGTCGTTATTCTTACGTTTTACTACGTTCTTTGCATTTTTCTTGTGTTTATTAGCGAAATATTTCGCGTTTCAGAGAGCATATCGCTGCCTCTTGTCTAAATTTCCGAAGCAATATTTTGCATATTTCACAATCATAGGAAGGAAGACCTCGTCTCTCCGCAAATCTCCGTTCGCAAAGGCCGAGGATCGATTTGTCCTCTTGATAATCATTCAGATTCCGCGAGAATCTCGTGGCGTAATTGACAAAGCGTTTCTCCCGAAGGATGACGGGAGTCGCGAGAGAAGGCCTCCTCCTAAGCTATACGAGACATTTCGAGACATATGTAGACGCATATGACGAAACACATGCGCAGCCGTCATGCCCCAGCAGCGGACTACCGCCTCGAAGAGGCCCCCTTCGGAGGAGGCCCCGTCTACGAACAGCTGTCCCCGTCTCTCGCTGCCTCACTATGGGGTCCTTGCCGCGGAGATGTAGTTAGAAATATGCTAGTGATACACGGAAGCGGATCGCCTGACAGAGAAATACGCGAGTTCGCGTCTTTCCGTAATATAAAAGCTGGACAAAAGCATGAAGAGAAAGAGCGGGAACGTAAGTTTGCCGTATCTCCGGGAACAAAATGCTGCACAACGAATATAAATATACAGCGCGATACCATATCAAAGTATAATTGGTTGAAAATGATAGACAAAAATACGAGCAGCGTTAGAAAAATAGGGGAAAACGGTGAGACGCACTGTACAAAAATAAAGGTTTCGTAAAATACGACAAAATACGTCACGCGAGGTCTGTTTTTTCTCTCTCTCTCTCTCTCTCTCTCTCTCTCTCTCTCTCTCTCTCTCTCTTCCCTCCTCTTTCTCTCCGCTCCTTTTTTTACACAAAACGTTTCGCAAACGTACACCGTGTAATTTTCAAAAGGAACACGGAGATTAATTAGAGCGCTTTGTTGCGAGATAATTGGAACTTGTGCGAGCGCGAACGGAGACGTAATTGTTCCATGCAGCGAGGAACAATCACAATCAATCTTTTTGATCACGTTTCAGTGCGATGCGCGTGCTGCTGTCCAAGTTGCCACGACCTTGGATCGTCGACGAGAAGAAGGACGATGGTTACACGGCCCTTCATCTGGCAGCTCTAAACAATCATGTGGAGGTCGCCGAGCAGCTGGCACGCGCCGGGAAAGCCGACCTGGACTTGCAGAATGTCAACCTGCAGACCGCGCTGCATCTCGCAGTCGAGCGACAACATACACAGATCGTTCGGGTGCGTTGGTCTTCGCGAAAAACAAATAAAAGAAAGATATTCTTGAGAACTATCTTCTATAATTCCGACAGTTCTATATTATCGATTAGTCGATAATTATTAATCGTACGCCTATTCAATTTGCTCGGTCGACAGTTGTTGGTTCGCGAGGGTGCGAATCTGAACGTCGCCGATAAGGACGGGGACACACCTCTGCACGAGGCTCTGCGTCATCACACGTTGTCACAATTGCGGCAGCTGCAGGACGTGCAGGACGTCGGGCGGCTGCTGATGGGTCTAGGCACTCAGGGCCAGGACAAGAAGAGCAGCTCCTTCATCGCCTGCTTCCTGGCGGCCCACGGAGCCGATTTGGAGCTGAAGAACAAGAAGGGCCAGACACCTTTGGATCTTTGTCCAGATCCGAATCTCTGCAAGACCCTTACCACCTGCCACAAAGACAAGGAATCGTTAGTATAATAGAGCGAGAGAGGAAAGGAAGAGAACCGCTTACGTGCGTTCTTCGACCCTTCGCTCTTCAATCTCTAGCAACTAAACCAATTTTATAAAAGTATCGAATATCGTCAGATATTTATCTAGTACTTCTTTTTAAAGCTCGCTTAACATAAAGATCGATCACCTCAACGTTATATAATTTTATATATAAATTCTTGTATAATTTATTTGAAAAAAGTCAAAAAACTTTATTGTTTAAAAATATATAACTTGGTATTATCTGAATATATTTTTTGAATGTATGATATGTGAAATTTGTTTTCTCTCTTTTTGTTTTTATAAAATGCAAAATTTTTTCCCAGGCATGACATCGAGACCGTCGTACCGTCAGCGGCGATCGACGAGTGTCTCGTGTGCTCGGATGGCAAACGGGAAATGTTGTTTAGCCCTTGCGGACACGTGGCTTGTTGCAACGCATGTGCGCCGAGAGTAAAAAAATGTCTCATCTGCCGAGAAAACGTCCTTTTACGTGTGAAGGTATGAAACTGACACTCCCAGATAGAAATGCGTGATGATCATGTTTCATCACAATGTGACTTCATATTATGACTCCAATTTGATACTTTTTTAAAGATCATTACGTGATCTCATGACATGAGCACCAGATGCACACAAATGCTGTACAAATTATGTTGCAAATTCTTGACATGATGTTGATTATTATTATTAAATGAGGTATTTTTGTGACAGCATAACATGTCTACATTCTGAGGCGTATATGAGCCCGCATCAATGTCTATTCTTGTCCTCATGTTTGAAGATACATGAATACAATATGAGCTCAGAATAAACACATTTTTCTATCTGGGCTGTTCTCTTTTCTACTGCGCTATTGTACACCGACTGACACAAACCATTGTTGCCCTTAAAACTTAGTCTTTCAGCAGCCATTTAACATCTACTTCGCATTAACACCGAATTTCTAGATTCCTATAGATACTTATAACGATAATCTCAACGATAACGCCAAGTTACTGTTCATGAAAAGAATTAATTCTACCTTTATGCGTTAAAGATGCATTTTCTAAAACTTACATTTTTTCATTTTAATTTCATAAATTGCTGACTTGATAATTTCTATAATTAAGTCAGACTCTAATCGTGATATAAAATGTATCTCTTTCGTCGATCTGATGCTGTGATCGTACTACATGGACAAACAATTCTTCGCGTATCTAGAAGCAGATCGTTCCTTTTGTCCTGAAATGCATCCTCTAAGGACGATACGCGCGCGATAAGCTCGGTAACTCTAGACGTATTCTACCCACGTCCTCGCGCAATAACGAGCGTTTGTTCTCAGATCGAAGAATGCGTGGTGTGTTCGGATCGCAAGGCAGGCGTGTTGTTCCGTCCGTGCGGACACATGTGCGCCTGCGAGAGCTGCGCAGCCCTGATGAAGAAGTGCGTGCAATGTCGGGCCCAGATACAGCACATGGTGCCGCTGTCGATCTGCTGCGGCGGTGGAGGCGATGTCACTTACGTGAAGGGATGCAACGCAGGTACAATGATCACCTCGGGATTATTTGATAACTCGATCGCCTGCACTTTGCAGCGTAAACGATGTTTACATCGCCTTTCATATTGTTGCTAACTGAATTTTATTTAGGACGTTTACTTCGATATTATTATATAAGAATCAATTATGTAAAATACAACGATTATATAATTATCTCGCTTCGGTCTTCCCGTTGAGATCTGTTCGCGCATCGCGACCAAATCAGAATTCTGCATCGTGCGTTTAGTTCGTACCGTGAGGAAGCAAAGAGAATCGCCGAGTGCTTTCTTTTAAACTGACTGTTATGCTCTCGCAGGGACGATATCCGATATAAAAGCAGACCCCGAGGAGGAACCGGTACCGTCGAACACCGGAGTTGGGGAAGCTCTTCTAATGAACAACGGCAGTCGAGATACTTCCCACAGCGACATACAAAAACTCCAGCAGCAATTGCAGGACATCAAGGAGCAGGTACGTGTCTCTCTTGCGTCTCGCTTCGTTATGCGCCGCTTTAATGAAACGAATAATTTCGTTTGGGCCGAAAGAAGTCCGCGTCGCGCGCCATACAATTACAACTTGCTCTTGGAAAACCAGGCGGCCAAAATTCTGAACCTTTTTGCCATGTACGCTCTAACTTTAACTATCACCTTGTTTAATCTACCACTGGCTTCGAGAAGAAAGTACAGCATAATCACTTTCGGGCTCCATTAGATTTTTTTCAAGCTAAATATTTGGATTTTTACTAATCCGGAATTAAAATCTCTTGTATTATGCTATCATAATTATGCTATCATAATTATTATTATCGTCATTATGATTCTATTATTATTACCGACTTTTTGCAAATTAAATTTTGCAAGATCTAATACAATTTCCAAGAAAGTTGTAACACAAATCTCCTTCATTTAATATAACAAAGAATTTAATTAGAAAACCGGCTATCACAAGATATTTAATATTAAAAATTGATTCGCGAAAAGAAAATAATGTCTTTCAAGTTAAATGTTTGCAAAGATCAGTTGCGAATTAGTCAATGAGTTCTGAGAACATCGAGTACAACACAGAGGCGTGGATCGTAAAATGATTCGCCCGTGGCGATTGATTGTTCCGACAGAAACGCGCCATGAGGAATAACCGTTGAGTCTCCGATTCTTTTTATTGTTGCAGACTATGTGTCCAGTTTGTTTGGATCGTCTGAAAAATATGATCTTTCTGTGCGGACACGGTACCTGCCAAATGTGCGGCGACCGGATGTCGGAGTGTCCAATATGTCGCAAGGCGGTCGACAAGCGCATTCTGCTCTACTAAAAATAAAGGATCACCGGGCGCGCTGCATTTTTCCGCCGGTGATTATGAAAGAAAGAGAGAGAAGACGAATTAAACCCACCACCACATTTCGCAGTTACGAGAAGAAGAGAGGCCGTCGTTTCTTCATACCACATTTATTTCTGACAACGACATTTTGATAAGTCGGTTTGCGCGAGACACGATAAACATCACACTCGGAGTATAACAGAATATTGATTATAAATATTGATTATAGAATCAATAATTATCATTAAGCTGCGATGGTCCGTAAAATGGTGAAACATATGATGGCTGAAGCTGATAGCGAATGACGATTAGTCGCGTCAAACGCGCGAAGTACGCACAATTATTATTTAATATTTGCATTTGTAGCAGAGAGAAACTTGTTTTACACGACGGATCATACATAATACGCTGTTGAAGTTGCGTCGCGTATGATGCAACTATAACGCGCGAATGCAACGTACTTAAATCTGAACCTCCTATGAAGATTTTATTTATCGTTCATGAGAGCGCATCGTTGTCTTTCCGCGTAATTAAAGAGTGAAAAAAGCTTATATCCCGTCACTCACACTAAGCATTAAGAAATTCTTCCATATATTTATTATTGATATATGTAAAAATCCCTCTACACACATATTTATCTTGAATCATTTCCACAATTGCTAGGCCAAGATCGATAGGTGGTGATATCGCATTTGTGTGTAGCTTTATATATTTTATAACGTTGAAATAAAATATATTGTTTGCTAAACACTAGAACCTGCTAACATACAATGTTACTTGTTATCGCGTAGTCGGCAGGAATGTTTTCAGTAACATCGCTACCGATTCGATTGTATACTCTGTTGTTATTATATACGGATCATAAAATAGTAAAAAATTATCTCAGTTCCCTCTTTCTATATAAATTTTACATGTTTGTTGTATATACTTCATGTAATAACACTTTCGCTATTACATATATTACTTTCGAGTATGAATAAGTGATGATATTATATTCGATCTGATTTGTACAATTTGTATCTTCTTTAATTCAAATATTTATATATTGTTATATATTACCTTTCGATTGACTCAAAAATCGTTTACATCGAGACATGTAACAGCCGTATTGGGACGGGAATTCGTGAACGAAAGATATGAGAGGAACAGAAAGTAAATTTATTAAACAGAATTATTCATACTCGCAAATCATTCCTGTTTTGATAGTATTTCTATTGACTTCACTATTTTCCTTAAATTTTTTTATTAGAGTGAGCGCGTTCCAGTACGCGCGTATGATACAAATAATATCGTATGATATTACAAAACAATGTGACAATTATCGTCTCATAGAACGAAAGTTATATCATTACATATTACCTTTACTGTATTCTACCCCCGATAATTCAATAAACAAATTTTATAAACTTGCCGCACAAAGTCCTATTTCCATATAAATGTCACACGACGAAACTTTCGATCGTTAAATAAAACATACGTTGGTTTTTGTTCGGGGATAAAAGCAAATACGTAAAACGAGAAATATACGAAAAATTATTTATTTTCCTCGAGAATTCGAATCTCGTAATACATAAAGCCACATTTATATGATAACTGAATTTACAGATTTCTATCTTCATTTGCCTTCTCAGGTAACATACTCGGCTAGAAATCTACGAGGAAAGTATTGGAGTATCGAATTTACATGCGCGATATGAACATCCATTCGCTGCAGTCTCTCTTGTACCATTAGCTATCCCTAAATCCGACGATCGCGCTGTCGCGTCTTTCGTGTAGATTCTCACGTAATATTTTATGCACATTCTTGTATAAAAGGCTATCTCACGCAATCGCACGACACGTGTTTGCAACGCTAACGGCACTTCGTAAAAAGATTAGACCGAGTATCGGTGGCGATTCGCCGTGGAGTCTACTTCGCGAGAGAAAATAAAGTTCACAAAGAAGAAGACAAAGATGTGCATCGTGTTCATGTGTATGTAACTATACAGGATGTTTTACAACTACCGTAAGATATTTTAATAGCATATTCTGAAGATAAAGTCGAAAATCCTAATACAAAAATGTCGAGGCTACAATAGTTTTTAAATTATAATCGATTAAAGATTACCAGTAATATCGCGTAGAATTCGCGCGCTCAAGCCCATAGTTATATAGCACGCACATTGTTTTATCATTTGTTATCGACTTCACAGTTAATATTAGTTTTTACTGCACAGCTGATCCCTGAAAACATTAATAATTAAATAAAACGATGTGCGTGCTGTATAACTACGAGCTTGAGCGCGCAAATTCTACGTGATATTAATGGTAATTTTTGATCGGTTATAATTCAAAAATTATTGTAGCCTCGATATTTTTATATTAGGATTTTTTACTCTATCTTCACAATACGCTATTAAAATATCTTACGGTGGTTGTGAGACACCCTGTATATATATATGTATGTATGTGTTTGTGTATATATATATATGTATATATATATATATATATATATATATATATATATATATATAT